TTTTGTATAAAATTAGATTGTTATTTAATTTATATTAATTGTAAATCAAGTTGAATAAGCGGAAGGAGTACTATGTATATCAGGGCTGTCCAAACCAGATGCGATAGTGGGCCAATACAAATCACTGTATAGATTGGGGGCCGCAAAAATAAATACATACGTTCATAGTTGTTTTCGACAAAAATAAAAATACGTTTATAATGTAAAATTCAGCTTAATTAATTAATCAATTTAAATTCATTTATTTGTTTTACCATAAATATAAAATAATCTAGTTTTACCAGTACACCAAAAAAAAATTTGCGTAATTGTAGTAGATTAAAAAGATGTCGTGGGCTTTGGACAGCCCTGATCTATATTATGGTCGTGTGCGAGTTAGGCTAAGTTGCGTTCTAAATGAGGGAAATTCTAAGTTGTGCCGATAATGTAGTGATGTGTCGATACGTGTTGATAAATGGCTATATGTGTGCAGTGCAAAAAATCCCAAAAAATCTCCCATTTGGTTTAGCATCAACTTAGCCTAACTCGCACACGACCTATAACAATGTTATCGCGCTTTTGTCTATACTAAAATTTAGTGCACATTTCAATATGTGCTAAATCCTATAGAAAAGATAAACGCACATCCAAATGTGCCACAAAAAAACACATACCTTATAATAGATATGGAGAAGAGGTTTATGTTGTTGTTGGAGGATGTTGAATGGCACTTGGTCGTCTTCGACGAGTGGCTCCGGGACGTAGACCTGGCCGTTCTAGAAAAAGTTCTATAAATAGTTTCATTGAAAAAATCTTGTTTCTTGTCTCTTCTGTTTTGGATAAGTGAAAATTTTTAAATCTTATGAAATCATTGTTGTACTATTTCTAAAAAATTAATATTCAAAATTGTTCTTTCATAGTCCCCTTTTGCTGTACTTCCTGGCTACGCCTTTGCTTATATGCTTAACTATATTTATATTTACCGTGGGGTTTTTATTTTAGCAAACCCAGAAACATTCTTTGTTGATCATTGACTCAAATCTTTATTTATAAAGATAAAAATATAAAATCCCATAATATAAGATCCCATATTAAGTCCTTCCAAAAATAAATCGAGATTAATTTTGTTTGTATTTTTTTACATAATTTTCAGAAACGTTTTGTGTAAAGCCAAGGAACTTAATTTGCGAACAATTGCATTGTGTAACATTGTTACCAGCCAACAAAGTTTCCCAGCAGATTTAGCGGCTCACATTGCATTACGTAAATATAAATAATATATTTATTCAAATATAATAATTCAAAATATCTCATTGCAGGCACAATACGTCGTTATCTGGAAAAATTTACAACTCAGATTGTGATATTATGTGTAGGTTCGAATGAACGCGGTATATATGAAGTTTTGGCACCTTTATACTTTCCACGAGATCATTTAGAGGAACGTAGCGCATTGTGGCAATTGCCGAAGGATATTGGCGGAGAATTCGGTGAACCACAACATCCTGATCGACAAATACGTATCATACGAAACCCACAACACCGAGTATTAATGCGTCATAGTAAGTACACCAGAGATAAACCCTATACGAGTACATTTCAAACCGTCAGACTTACATGAGAAAGAGTATTTTGCGCTTTAACTGAAAGTGGGTTATTGACTCACTCATTGATAAGCGTTGTTAAGATAAGATTAACCAACAAACTGGAAAGAATTTGAAATTGACAGTTGACAATTTATTTGTGGTATTCCGATTCAGTTAACTTTCATGGCAAATACCGTTCACAAGTGCCAGGAAAATTTTCGGTGAATAAAATTAAATTGAAAAACTCAACAATTTTTATTGAAAGTTCGCAAATCGCAAATACTCGTGAATTAAAGTAAAAAAATTATACATTTGTGCATAAAAATCGAGGTATTGTAAATTAGTTTGTATGGGAAGGGAATAATCAAGGGAATACTTAAAAAAGTTTTGAGTGCACTTTTGCTTACTAATTAAAAAACACTATGTATTCATGTATTCAGCGAAAGTTTTCCAATTTGAAACGAAATTGAAAATATTCAAGATACTTGAATCAAAATACTTGAATCAAGATACTTGGATCGTGATTTAAATAGCAAATACGTCATTAATTAGTGATTAATAACATTTTAACCTTTAAAATCTTATTCTATTTATTTATAAAAATGTAAATAATATAAGTGTATTAACTTAAAAGAAATTAAGCAGTGCAAATTATCTATAAAAGCGAGAGATAACGTTTAGATAATTCAGCTATATAGTGCAATTTAAACGTTCCACAAACAAATAGAACGTTAATCAGCAATATGTTGTTTATTACCAACACTAAAAGTAATACTGTCTTATTATATCAACTAAGACAGATTTTTTAAACTTGGTTTAAATTCATTATTAAATAATTATTAAACAAATTATTCGTAGTTTGAAATTGTTATTTATCGTTGGACTTTAGTTTAATATGCTGTGATTTGTGTTAAATAACTTCATTGAATTTCTTAACGTTAAATACGTTGTTAATCATCATTCACCATTTTTAAGCTACTTTACATTGCAGTCTTTTTATACTTCGCTGTTGTTGTATCTTAACGCCTACTTGAAAACAAGTACATCAAAAGGTTGACAGAAATTTTTTTCAGATGGAGCTTTCGGAAAATTTCAGGAATTCAAATAATTATTATCTTATTAAGCAGTCTTAAGGCAATAATAGTGGGAGCATTATTAAAAAATCGTTCTTTATTTTTGGGTAAGGAGTAGGTTCATCTTCTCAAACCCAGCTTCGTCTACTGGTTTCATGCCTAGAGGGATCGAAGCACATAACAAAGTGTTCTGGTGGTTCAGTTACTGTTCTATAATAATATACATATAAATGACATTTTCTATGTCTTTATCATATGTTCAAAAATAAATCGAACTATAGATACAATATTGTATATTGGAATAAATTTTGCTATGACATGAGAGTATTTGAAAAAAATTAAAGACACTAAATAACTGAGAACTTCAAAAGTTCTCATGAAAGTACATTTTCATTTGTTTATAATCGCGAGAGTGCTTAAATATTTAAAATAGATTTCATTAAATGTGTGAAATATTAACACTAGAAAAATTTTGTTTGCTATCAATTACGTCAACAAAATTATATAGTATAAACAATTTTTTTTAGTTACTCGATATATTTGGTTATATGTAGACTATTATTGCTGATAACACATATAATCAATTTAAACTCGTATATAAACAAAAGGTTTCTAATTTCAAATAAAAACGTCATTGAATTTACAATAGCTCACATTAGATATCCATAATAGGTGTCAATTTTAATGAATGCGATCCCTCTGTAATATTCTACCCGTATCTATTATATTTGCATAAAAAAAATATTTTTGTTTATTAAAAAAACTCATTCAGAGTTTGAAATAAACGTCTGCTCTTTATTAATAACTTTCACTATATACAAAAAGTGTTAAAAATAGGATCTATCTATTGAAACATTTGACTTCTCATAAACAAATAAATTAAATATATTTATATACATGTCTCCTATATATAATGCATTCAATGTATTGCAAGTGTTATTTTTTTTATTAATAGAATGAATCATCAAAATAAATATATGCATTTTCATTAGTTATCAATACCCGCCATAAAATTTTTTATATTCCGTTAAGTTCTTTATTATTGTTTGGAATGATCAATGTCGAGTAATTAACGAAACTTTAATTACTTTTAGATTACTATTTAGGATATATATAATTAGTAGCATTTATGCTAATTTGAATCATGATAAACGCAGTGCAATCAAATCATAAAGCTAGATTTATTATGATAAAGCGTTGACTTGTATTTGAATTTTGGGTTAATGATATTCTATGATATAACTTATCAGAGTTAATTGGTTCGTCAGATATAATTGATTAGCAGCAGAACTAATTGTAATTGTAATTGAATTGTATATATAATAAAATAAATAGAAATAAAAATAAAACTACGCATTTGGTTTATTGTAATAAATCGAATACGTACCATAAGTCGATATTTCTATTTTATATACCTAATGCGATAAATATTTCTCTATAAATATAAAGATATTTCGATTTATTGTAATAACTCAATTCGAACCTTAATAAACTATAGATATTGATGTGAATATAAGTTAAAAGTTATTTTTGTTGGTTAACTCAGTAACTTCGTAATTTGTTGAGTGTGATAAATAGTTCGTTCGTAATGTTATGTGACTTCCAATAAGTGAAGTAACCCTTTGTAATAAAGTTTAACATACTTTCTCTAATATTGGTATAAAATATTCTGATTCAAGCAAATAACTATATAAAATAAATTAAAAATAAAAAACTCAAAATCGGTTTTCTTTTAATAGTTTACAAAAATCATTTAAAGTACAAACCATATCAACATTATTCTTAATGGAAACAATCGTAGAGTAAGGTCTTTGAGATCTATTATACTTAATAGATACTTTCGATTCAGTATTATTAGCTATCCCTAACTATCATAAACCACGATCTTTGAGATCTATTATACTTAATATATCCTTTCTATTGTTAGAGAAAGTTATTTGTTACAGAAAGCTATTCTTAGAGAAAGTTACCTTTGCTAACCTGTAAAAATTAACGCTTTTGATAAACCTAACGACGTCGTTTGGTTCAAAACTCAACATTTTTCACTTTATTGCAATCTTCCTTATTGTTTTAAACGAAAATTATTGAGATCTATTGTGTTACTGTGGTATCCATTGTTGCCAAATTAACGCTTCTAATAAACCTAAGTCACTTGTTTCACAATTTCAGACATCATTTAGTTCAATTATTTTCATTATTGTTGTTGGAAAGGACAATCGTAAACCATGATCTTTAAAATCTATTGCTGTGCGTAGTTACCTGCAGAAAGCGTCGTTACCTAATCTGCAAATATTACGGCTATTGATAAACCTTTCAAAATCACTTGATTCACAACTCCCGACATCATTCAGTTTAATAAAACCAATATTATTGTTGGAAAGGACAATCACTCTTTGAGATCCATTGTGTTTTTGAAGAAAATTTACTAAACTAACCAAAACGCTTTTGATAATACTAACTAACTTACTTGTTTTACAAGTCCAGACATTATTCAGTCAAATTATTTTCATTATTATGATTAAAGCGTACAATCGCATTTCGTGATCTTTAGAATTTATTGTGGTATTTCTGCAAAAAGTGCCATTACCTAATCTGCAAAAGGTACGGCTTTTGATAAACCTTTTAAAATCACATGGTTCACAACTCCCGACATCATTCAGTTTAATAAAATCTATATTATTGTTGAAAGGTACAATCGTGTACCGCGATCTTTAAAAATTGTTGCTGTGCTATGTCAGCAGAAAATGTCTTTGCCTAACTTGCAAAGAAAAAATTAACTCTTTGGCTTTTGATAAATCTTACAATATCACTTGGTTCTCAACTCCAAATAAGATTCAGTTTAATAAAATTTATTATAATTAGAGACAATCGTATATCATGTCTTTAAAATCACATCTTTAATACTATAATTGGAGAAAACCAGGTAAGCTAACCTGACCAAATGAATGCATAGGATAAATCTAAATGAAATCCAATTTGGGGTAACAAATAATCACGGATAAGATGGGTATATCTTTCACTCTGCAGTTTTCAAAAGCTGTCATTGTCTCTATAATTTTAAATTTTTATTGCTTCAACAATCAATTCATCCAAAAAGTATGCTTTAAAATTGTTTTTTTTGAATTGCTGAACTGCCTTACCTTTGCAATGGTAAGGTAGTACGCAGTTTCCAATTTTTTGTAAAAATACATTTTTTGCTTCAGCTCATCAGATCTCTGAGGCTGTGAAATGCTTATCAGTTAACAAAGCCAACAATATTTATTTTCAGTAAAATCTGAAAGATAAATCATTTTATCTTCTGCATGATTCGCAACGCCAACATTCGAGCAACAAAAACTTAACGCCACCGAATTAGTTCAACGGGTTTTATGGAATTGCGCGCTGCACAATTTATTTCTTAACTTTTTTATTCGTTTTCATTAAAAACATTAAATCTGAATCAATCTGGAAACGTATTGAAAGGCGTAAACATTAAGTGATGATCACTTTCGACTAAAAGCTCATATTTATATTAATCAGTAAAAAAAAAAGTTATAACGTTTGAATTAAAAAAAAAAGTTGTCAATTTGAATAGCGAAAGAAAAAATTATTAAATTTATTAAAATAATTTTGATTTTATAAAATTAAACAAAACAAAAATGATAAATAACTCATTCTGCTTCTCGTGTAAATATTTTTACATTTTATTTGTGAAATTTATAATTTATTTACCACAGACAAAATTTATTATCATGTCTTTATTTCAGCTGACGACGATTCCGATACCAGTCCACACGATATGGAAGGTAATAGCTCTGATTTGGAATACGGCCTCGATAACCTAAACGGATTACAACAAAATCGAAGAAATCAAACTTATTCCCAAATGCAGGTTCGTATAAATAATTTTTAAATATTTTATATATGTTAGTATTAGATAGACGTACTTTGGGTATCGGTATAAGTCGAAATATTCTTTGAACTATTTATATATATATTTAGAAATATTTAGAGCTCGTGTTCAAAATTGTACTTTAATATATATTTATTTGAAATGATTTTGAAATTCAATAATATTGCAATTATAATACTAAGTGAATAGGATATATCCACCAAAATTAACAAATTACAGTTTATTTCGTGAAAATTAGTTGTGAGATCTGCCCATGAGGCATTGTATAGGACAGATGTTATATTAATGAGCTACATAAGTCCATATTCGTGCGATATGAAGTTTAGAATTAATTTTTCCAGCATTTTGTCTTGTGTAAGAAAAAAGTTGTAAAGAAATGGATATATATATATATTTTCTTATAGTTACGGAGATATACTGTCATAGTGGACTATTTAATGGAGAACAGTGACGTAACTATTATATATATAGTGAAGCTATTGTTTTAGAATTGAATTTATTACATTTCAGTGATCTTTCTTAATGAAATGGTAGGTTCATTCACCTTTATTTTCTGTTACGTATCGTATCATAAGCATAAATAGGAAGCATAGTAGTGTGGAAGCAGTGGGCTTCATCATAAAGATGGATAAGTTAAAAAAAGGTTCTCACAGTATATTTTATCTGTTTTCATTATACAAAATTATAAGAAATACCTATACGCTTGTCGATAACTTTACAATTGACACATCACATTTAGGGGAGCAATCATTTCTTTGGGGTTTATTTATATTATAAAACATTACGCCATTTCGTTGGTCGGTTACTTTTGAACTGTCTAAGGTGCTTTAATTTGTTGTATTTCTTCATAAGACTTCTTTGGGTGCTCGATTTTAATGTTAGATGAAATATCTTATCATAAGGCTTCAATAGGATAATTATGTACGTACACATAAATTTTATCTAATCTGAAACTAGTTTTTAAAATCTTGTTCTATTCAACCAAATACCTTCAATCTATTAGATTTCAAAATTTGAATATTTATTCAAAGAGAATATGTAAATTTTTAAATTTATAATGTAAATTTTATAAAATAATTTTAGAACTCTCCGGAAATTCATCTTCATTAATGGTTTCAGCATAGAAGATCAACCAATTATTCGTCTAAGAACTTTAAATTCTAATGATATTATAATATATATGTTATGATAAGATTTTTCGTACTGATACCAAATGAAATCCAATTAATAATAATAAGTACCGTTCTTATATTACTCATATATTTTTTTTTAAATTGTACACGAATAAACTTTAATCTAGTATAATTAATTTTAATCCCATATCTAAACAGGAAACATCTAATATACCTATAAATCCTTTCAGCAAAAATGAAAAAATGTTTTAGATACTTAAAATTTATATCATTCGATACACAATCTATACCAAACTTTGTATCCAACTTTTTTTTTATATTTGTAATCACCCTCTTATGTTTTTCTTCTATGTCTCGTACTAAACTTTGACCCACATATTAATCTGCTTCTCTACCAGCATTTTACTCAGAATGCATCCTTGAATAAGCTTATCTTCCTATTTTTATGTCTTCTGTGACGTGGTCGCTCTTTTTATTTAGTTTTATATAAGTATCTTAATAATTTGCAGTTACATTTTTGAAGAGTTTAATTTGTATATATGTCAGATGCAAGTTCACCTTAACAATCTCCATCTTCTTAAAGGTTATCAATTTCATCATTCGTTCTTTATACTCTATTTTTATCTTATTGGCTCTAAAAAAGTTTATAGCACATTTTTTCTAATTTTAACATGTTCTTCTTATTATCTTCATCATATATTCATCATATCATAGGTATATTTATATATCCTTTTCTTTGAATGCAATGTCTAAAACGTAGCATAACATTTGGACTCTTATAAATTTCCAATTTTAATCTATATTATTGATAAGTGTTATAGAGAATAAGTTCCTCAATTGAGAAAGAGATATATAGTTTCTACATACATAAGCAGTCTGTAATTAATTTCACACTAGTACCAATGAAATATTAATTAGTAGTTAGTTCTTTAGGATTTAATGCTACTTTTAAAGTATTATTCGAGACAGTTAATGCAAAATTTTAGATATTATTAACTAAATTAAATTGTACTGGTTTTAATTATACATTCTGTTTTCGACCAATTAAATTTATTTATAAAATTTAATATCAATTACTTTTTAACTAAATTGTATTATTTGTTATTCCATTCTTTAAAGAGTTAGACATTTTTTAAGACACCAACTCAGAAGACCTACTACTACTACTTAAACCGCATAGTCCTGTAGTTAAATACATGATATAGTATTATACTATTACAATATAATAAAAAAAAGACTGATATAAATTATAAATTATGTGTGATTTATTCTATCATTCTATCTATCTTTAAAAACTCCTTTACATTTAAATTCATCTTCCTTTGCTACATCAGCCCAGATCTTCGCCTTTGGTCTAGCACCATTTATACCGAATTATTCTTACATGGAATTGCTTTTCATTATGATATATTCTTTCCGAGACCACTAACCAAAATATGCACCTTGGCTACGCCCATGGTAAAAATCACTTATTTGTTAAGAGTGGACGATCTTACGTATTTGTGACTATCATAATATTTCATTGTCTAGTTTTATATTATATGATGCTATAAGTAATATTAAGACAAATATAAATATTTTTACATAAAAGTAGTAAAATTTATTATAATTGTATTGTTTAAATAAATTCCAATTCTTGTAGTATAAATTTTATACTAAGCAATATAATAAATGTTTCCTTTTGTTTTAATTTCTAGAGTGACTTGGATCGACAACATCTTTTGGGTGATAGACCACGAAATGGCGTTTTTGAGAACGTTGTTGCTGACGGTATTGAAGGCCTTGAACACCAAGAGCGGTATGTAATTTTAAACCATAATTTAAATAGATTATATTTCATTTAATTCAGTAAATACAAGTAAAAGTAGCCATACGGAAGATAATTGTACTTCGTACTAAACTACCTGTTTTAATCATTTTACGTCACAATTCTAAAATGGAGCAACAAGACAATGATTTATTTGTCTCTAAACCCTTTGCAAAGATTATTGTGACTACTTGTATTTACTTAAATAACAACGTTTCAACTAATTTTAGTGCGAATATATGTAAATCTATTCATATAGGTACATATATATTGAAAATAAGTGTGGCATCTAATATTATTTTTAGGTTTGTTACTTTGCATTTATTGAGTTAGTGAAAAAATACAATAATAATATTTAAAAATAGTTTATATATGAAAAACTTTATAAACAATTTTTTAATTACTTTAGGCATACATATTCATATTATAATATATTCCATAAAAGTTGTATTGACTACTTAAGTGTCTTAACTATTTAAAAACTATGTGATGTGTTTCATAAAACTTTTACTCGACCAGATCTAAATTTTTACAAACTGTTGTTATTAAGTACTACATTTTCTCATTATATATATATTGAAATATATACAATAATACTTAAACATAGGTATATCATGGTAGATTACCTTAAGAAATATATGGGTCCTATGTATTATCTATGTGATAATACATAGAAGTTTTGTTGCTATTTGTTGTTAATTTAGGGTTTTTTCAAGCAAACAAAGTCTATAATAGTTACTGCAACAGTAATTGTTACATAGTTACTATACTATACAGTAATAGTCCTAACTATTCTTAAATAGTTACTATGCTCTGCCTCATTAGCAGCTAGTACCATATCACAATAATTTCCATATCTTTTTCAATGAACTTTCCAGAAATTACTGTTAAAGATTCTCTTTAGAAACCAATTTGTCAGTAAATGATGCGTAGAATATGTTTAATACCCATGCATTTAAACAATATATAATATTATATTCATGATATAAAACTCTATGTTCTGCTAATTTTGCATACGTTTATAATTATTGTATATATTGAGACCATGACTACGTATTGAGATCATTAAAACTAGAGATCATTTTTCTTAGATATATGAAGCTACGAATGTTTGTTTCATACATATAATACAAAAAACTTAATATATAAAACCCATAGAGCATCACTATTGTCTATTCTTAGTGAAATTTATCTATTTTATATACAGACATACATTATTAGGATTATTAAAATCTTGAAATTGTTTCCTAAAGTTCCAATACATTGTTCCAGATTTTTTCCACTTCCAATTACCATATTTTGTATTATATTAAAAAAAGAATATATAATTTCGTTATAATAATTACTCATATAATTTTAAAGAATTAATAATTTATTTGATTTAAATTGTAAAAATATCAAGGAAAGCAAATTATTTATGTTTATTATTAATTGCTTTAATGAAACACCAAAATCATATTTTCTGCAATAATGAGTCAAATATATTTTGATATTTCATTTCACTGAAAAGTATTAAAAATACCTAAAAATATGGAATACATAAATTAAAATCGTGTAAAAAAAAAAATTTTATTTATTATTAATTTTCTACATGAATATTTTCAATTGCTTTAACACCTGTTGTTTTCAGAATTCAACTTTTGTAAAGTAAGATCATTATTAATTCATTTTATTTATGTTGTACTAACCTTATATCAAAAAAACATATTTGGTTTATTTTTTGAAGATCATTTTTTACATCTTATATATTCAAAATTAAATAGACAAAAAAATATATAAGTACAAATACAACATGTACTTTTTTCTGTAGATAGTAATCTTTAAAATCTCTCATCTACTCTGTCTTTGCCCAGCTCATACATGGTAGCGACTCAACATTTTATGAGTCCCCTTTCTTGATTTTAATCAATCTCAAGACCTCCCACTAAACAGCATTTAAAGCTTCGCCAAAGTTTCTAAGTGATTTTAATCCCTGAGTTTTCTTTTATATACGGTTATATTCAAAATCACTGCAAAAAATTTTTGAATTTTGACACCAAAAGAGCAAACATCGTTCTGACTTTAAACAGCAAGAATCTAAAGCCACTCTCTAGTGCACTAACAGAGCACTTCACATGCAAAAAACCCCTACATAAAATTGGTGTATTCAGCATAAATATTTGCAGATTCTGCTGTGATGAGAAAGAGTCTATGGAATACCTGATCACCGATTTTGATGCACTAAATCACAGGAGACACAAAATTGTAGGTGCAGAGTTACTAGCAATTAAAGACCTTCAAAAGCTCCCTCCGAAAAAACTGGTACATCTCCTCAATATGCTAAACTTTTACATACAAAGGTATGCATAATAGATTAATCTTGTCGCATTGCATAAAGGCCTAAGCCTAAACCATAAATCATTACCATTATCATTACCAATCTTCAAAAACATGCTTGTAAGACTTCAATTCACGAAAACCACCTTTTAGAAATGAACTATGAAAATTCTCAGAATGAATAGCTCTATATGAAACTCTATAAAAAATTTCATTAAAGCAACACATACGAAAGAAACTCAATACTCAAGAGAAATGTAAAGGGAGTGATGGAGAAATAGTGGAAAAATTAGGAAGATATAGTTTGTATTTATGTTCGGTATCTTGAACGCAAACTATATGATTATAATAAAGTGAGAGTATATCGAGTATCACTTAATTAAATGTATACTAATAGGTATTGGTATTGGATCAACACCATCAGTTGATGAAATATCTTCGTAAAAGAATATTTAGTCAATGCAAGTTACTTGAAAACTGTTACACACAAATAATTAGATGAAGCCTTGTATTTGATGAAAATTATATCTAGAAAGTTAGTTTTAAATATTTTTCTATTATTCCTTACGCATAAAATCTATTTTTATCTAAATGCTAAATCAGTAAAATGGTATTTTCTATAAATAACATGTTTTAATCATTTCATTATTAAATAACTAACTTAAATATTAATCTAATAATTTTATGATAGCAATTAAAGCATATTTTTTGTTAGAAACAAAATACATTATTAAAGTATGGACCATATCCAATTTGAAAAATTTCTTATCTTCGGAAGCAATGAAGTCTTGTAACTACTCTCTACCTACTATATTAAAATTGTTAAACCGCTACTCGTTTAGTGCATTATTTATCAACCAGAATTAGTACAATCTAATGGAGCTTTGTTTGAGGATTACGGCTAGTGCAGTAGGTCTCCCCTTCCGGTAGTTTTATATCAGATTTCTCGTTAAATCTATAATGCCCAATAAATTGAAAAACGTAGAATTTAACATTAAGTTCAAATTCCTCTTGGTCATCACTGATAATGTTTTTGAATTTAAGCAATTCATGGCACTCCCCAACTCTCTGATAGTACCTTAAGTCAAGTTTCCCAGTTGTGCGACTTCTCTTTAATCAGATTTCTTCAAAACAGAAATGTCATTGCAGACATTTCACTCTTATTTTAAAATAATGCGGGCAGTCGTTATAAATTTAGATTGGTAGATCTTTAGGTATATTTCCGTAAGTTTGTGATGTCTTCTAACTAGGTTTCGTATATAAATAGCTTGTTGATATGAATATTTCATATAAGCGTTGATGAGATTGACCAACCTCGTCTTAGATACGTTTCTATATGATTTGTCAGAATGTCATTATTAACTGTCTGATTTGAGATTCCTTTATTTCTCGTTTAGGTATTTCAAGTAACAATTTTATAATCATTACGACCCTTAAACACCTTTTTCTGAAATGTTACCCGATTTTCAATATCATAAACTGTGTATTATTCATATGACATATAGACTTTAAGCACAATCCTATTATATTGTATTATGTGGCTTGTAAGTTTAAGTGCGGTATGAAATTTTCTTAAACAGTTCTTCCAATTTGGAATTGTCAAATATCTTCAATTGATCAGTCCATTGTCTTCCATATTAATATCACCGCTTTTAAAATGTTGACCCACTCCTTGGCGAGCTTTTAAACGGATTGTCCATCTACACTACATTAATTTTATTAAATAAATATAATGTATATTTCTATATTATTCTATTTTATATTATATTTTAATATATATATGAATATATAAATTTAAATGTTTCAAAAAAAATATTAAAAATTAATATAAGCAATAATGGACCTATAGCACTTGTATTGCTTTCAGATCCACACAAAGTGTTGTACTAAATAAAATTATAAAAATCATAAATATTATTGTGTACTCATATCTACTTACAGTCATACATTGTACTCGTAGACATATGTTTTTAACATTAAATAATCAGATACGGAATTACATGACTTTCTAATAAATAGGGTATGATGACACTGTTTTTGTTGTAATATGCGTTGTACTAAGTAATTAATTTCTACTAAATTACTATGGCATGAATGTTTCTGACATGAATTCAATTATTTTTTCTTAAATAAAAAAAAATAAATTCATTTTCAAGCAATTTTTTTAACATAAGATACATAAATGTAAAAATAAATTGAACAAGAAAGTTATTTTTAGTTTGTTGTTACTATTTTTAGTGACCCCCAATATGGGATAGAGTGGTCGGTCATAAAGTAAACAATGAAATATTGTAGTGACTCCTTTCAATCGATTTCAATTCATTTACATATCTGAAATTTTCATGTTCTATTCAATAGCGTCAGATAAACTTAAACAATGACGTCAATGAAACGTGCAGTATGTCCTGACGTCATAATAGAAAGTAATCCATTTTGAAACGTCACCTGAGTAACCTGAGCAAATAATACAACGTATATATAGTATATACAGATAACAAAATTGTAAGTAAAATGAATTACTTTCACTTTTACCAAAAATCAGATGAAGAATTTAATTGTTTCATATGCTTTTCCTTTTCTATTTGGCACGAATGATTTTTAGTATCTGATGACATCACGGAAGAAAAGATTTTTAGTGCTTTTACTTGTAGATATTTTTTAGTCAAAAAATTGTCAAAATGATGACTGATTACTTAATTAATAAGATTGTTATGAGGTAATTAATAAGCTTATTTCAATAGAATTATCTTCTTCTTAATATTACCAAGTTTTATGAATAAGAGTTAAAAAACTGTTTTTTATTTTTTTTTTATATATTCGTTTAAAAGAAAAACGACGGGAAGGAAGTTATAAAATATTTTCTCTAATAAAATTTTAATTAATTTAAAAATCAATATCTAATCATTTGTAAAAATTGTTAATTATACAATTATATATTAACAATATAACAACGGTAATAAAATAGATCATTAGTACAATATATATTAGCATTAAAAATAAAAGTATTTTAGTAATTTGAACTAACAGTGACTTAGATTTCATATCTACAAACCATATGAGAATTATAACTTATTTAATTTTAGAACCAGTTTCATATAGTCGTATAATTCCTACTATTTACATATCCAATAGTATTTTGATGTGAAAGCGGTATACTTATACGTCAAACTATGTAATGGAAAATCGAATATCGTATCAATAATAGTTCGAATATCAAAAATCCAAATACTAATAAAAGTATTTATTATTATTATTTTCCCTATTACTATATATTTATTAGTTATTTTTGTAGCTTTAAATATTGAAATAGTTTATATATAATTATAAGGAAAAT